GGGGGGGAGAGGGAGAGGGAGGAGAGGAGAGAGAGAGAGAGAGAGAGAGAGAGAGAGAGAAACAGCTCTCCACTGGTGTTTAGGGCCAGTTGTTGGATGGGCACTCTCTTGCCCCCTCTGCTGGTCACATGGATACATGCAGTATAAAATCCGGGGAGCTGGTAGGAAGGTGTGGTGCAGCCACCTCCGCTGTCTCACCAACCTCTCTCCTTTCTCCCGCAGTGCCACAGTGACAGCTGTCAGGACAGTCAACAGAGCCCAGACATCAGCTCTGCAGCCCTTGGAATGACAGTCAGCTTTCTAGAATGGTCATGATGATAAAATACTATTACTCAAATTATCACGTGTCCATCCTTCCAGAATCTGCAGTTCTTGCCTGCCTGTGGGTGGGGTTAGTTAGTCACTCTGGGGTACGGGATGGCCCCCACAAGGCAGCCTTAAAGATCAGATACCACTGGTTGCCATCTTGGAAGATGGCATTTCCTGAGGGAACTGCTTTGCCATGGCGTTTACAGTAGTCAAAGGTGAAACTCATGCTCTGTGGCCTGAACTCTTTTGAACATCACCAGAGGGAAGGAGTCAGGCAGGACAGAACATCCGAGACAGGCTTGGGAACACCTGCCATCTTAGCTATCTGGAAGGCCAGAGTCCTCCTGGGCAATTAAAAAACACCTGCGTTAAAATAAAAATAAAGAGAAGAGGGCTTGGGGTGGGGCTCAGCAGTAGAGCCCCTACATAGAACCCTGCAGTGAGGGATTTAGGGGCGGCTCACTGGTGGAGTGCTTCCTTAGAATGTGGGAGGCTCTGGGTTTCATCACCAGAGGGAAGAGGAGGCAACTGGAAAAGCCTTGGGGAAAGTGGGTACCGGAGCACCAAGGACACAGCGTGCACAAAGCATGCTAGAGGAAGACCTGGGGCAGCCTGTTGCCTTGGTGATTGTGGCATTAAAGAGCCAGGACCTAGGTGTTCGTTCTTAAGAGCCTGACATTTATTAACTTTAAAATTTCATCTGTCTGGCTCTGAGCTGAGCTGGCTTCATCTCCAGTTCTTTGGCGATCTGGTGTGAATCAGAGTCCCCAGAGTTCTGAGACCTGCGGGTCCAGTCTTGCCTCTATGGCTTGGAGCTAAGGAGAAGAGCGTCCATCTAAGAGCTGGGATAGGCAGGTCTGTGGATGTCTTGGGAAGAGGCCTCACCTTCCAGAACTGGCCTCTTGTGTTCCCCTTTCAGGGAACTAGGCTTGTGCGGCCAGTCTGAGCCCACCCCTTCAATGAGTAGGCCTCCCTCCCTAGACTCCACTTGGTGTCAAGAAGAGGCTGGGGGAGGGCTGTGTGCTCTTTCTTAGGAGCCTACAAGCAGTTGGGCTAGGAGCACCAGCCACACAGTTCCCACTCTGCTGCCAGACCCTGCCGCCTTCTCCTTAGAACCCCTAAGAAGCAGGAAAATGGTAACCTTTCTTCAGGCTCAGGGATCCAGACCTAGTTGTTCTCCCTCAGACCCAAGAGTCCAGGCCTCAGCCCTCCTCCCTCCTCCCTCAACCCATGCATCCAGGGTCCAGCCTTCCTCCCTCCGACCCAAGGGTCCAGGCCCCAGCAGGCCTACCTGGTCCCTCTCCATCCTTCCTGGCCCAACATCCCTGGGCTCGCGGCCCCACTCTCACCTCCGGGGGCCGCTGTCCCTCCTCGCCCTCCTCTTCCTCCTCCTCCTCCTCTTCCACCTCCTCCTCCTCGTCCTCCTCAGGCGCGGTGTCCTCGTGCGTGAAGGGCACGGCACAGGCGGGCGAGTGGAAGCGCAGACGGTAGAGCAGACGCACCCAGCGGCCGAACTCGCGGTCGCGGGTCTCTGCCGGTGCACGCAGCTGCAGGTAGAAGGCACGACCCGTACGGAACTTGACCTTGAGCTGCTGGCGGCTCTCGTCGTGCACAAACAGCTGCACGAATTGCAAGGGGAACAGCCTGATGGGAGAGGGGCGGCTCAGTTGCGGCCTCTTACACCTCCTTGTGTTTCTAGCCCTGTCGCGATCCTTCGGGGACTCCCACTTCTTGATGGCCCTGGAATGCCTAAGGTGGCCCCCTCTCTCTCCTCTGTCTCTCTCTCTCATCCTGGTCCTGTCCTACTGCCAAATCCTCGCAGCTGCACCTTCACCTGAGTCCCATCAGGCCACCAGAGGGCCATGTTTAGCATCTTAGTTTGGCCCAGCCAAAGTCAAGGCTGGGTCCTCCCTGGGGACCAGAAGCCCCTGCCTGGGGTATAGTTTCCATCACCCCATGTTCTCTATCTATGCTGTTTCTTCCCCGGTCCCTACAACGTGAGCTCCTTGGATTCTGAACTCTGACCTGGTTTTGCCCAGTCCTGTTTTTCCTAATATGGTGAATGGCTGAAAGAATGCTTGTCGAGTATTTGAATAAGCAAATTGCTCAGGTTTTCAGCTAGATTTAAGGTCCAAAGAAAAGGAAGATACTGTCCCAAGAGACTGAGTAATGTGACCCGGGCCACGCAGCGGTGGGTGCAAATAAGGTTGTGAGCTAGCGGTGGGCCACCTGATGTGTCCAACCTCCTCCTTTCTATGCACATAGATACACAGAACAGTCTCCTGTTACATGGTGACCCCAAGTCACGGGACAAAGCCCGTGTCCTTCAGTGGACAAGGGATGTCCCCTCAATGTCACAGCAGTTGATGACACACACTGCTCACACTGTGCCAGGTGCTTCACGAAACACAAATAGGAAGGACTGTCCTGCCGCTCACCTTCCAGATGAGGAGACTGAGGCACAGCACAGAGGAGACAATAAGGTTTGATCCCACGCTCTGGGGTTGCTGACTTGTTCAAGAAAAACCCAGCCCCAGGGATGAGTTGGAAGAGTCCAGTTGGCTCAGCCTGGAGTAGGGGTGGGGCTAATTGCCAACAGGGTTTGTTTTGTTGTGTTGACGAGGAAGCTATCAGTAGCCCAGGTTGGTGTGGAACTGGCTGTACTATCCATCCTGGCTCTGAACATTTGTTCCTCCTGCCTCCACCTCCTGAGGGCTGGGATTACTGACAGGACTCATACACGTTGTTGGCTGCAAGCAGGTGACCCCAAGCTTGCATTCAATATTCAAACATTGTTGCTGGAAACAGTGCAGTTTACCAGGGCAGAAAACTGTTTTGAGTAATATTCTCCACTGGGAAGGAGATAATTGGGTGTATTCAGGCACATTCCCCGCTCCCTTCTGCCTTTTTTTGAGAGAAGGTCTCATATGGCCCTGGCTGACTGGAACTTGTAGACCAGGTTGGCCTTAAACTCAGAGACTCACCTGCCTCTGCCTCCTGAGGGCTGGGATTAAAGGTGTGCGCCACTATACCCAGCTAGTGCCAGGCTCTTTACATGGCTGTTGGGGATTCAAACTGGGATCCTCATGCTTGTCCTGAAAACACTTTACTGACTGAGTCACCCCCTAGTGATCCCATTTTACTTTTTATCTTGAGACATAGGTCTCACTAAGTTATCCAGGCTGGCCTAGAAGCCACTCTTATATCTCAAGCTGGCCTTGAACTTGTGCCTCAACCTCCCAAGTAGCTGGATTGTCAGGCTTGTGCCATTAGGCATGGCTTTTTTCTGTTTCCTCGCTGTCTTTCACGAACTGAGATATGATGGGAGAGGATGCAGGTCCCACAAGAATACCAGAGTGTGCACATGTACTCCAAGCATGGAATGTTTGTGGCTCAAGCAGGGTAGGGCCTAGGCTAGGAAAAGGGATGTTCTGAGTGTGAGGTTTGTACTTGGTGGTACTTGATTTCCGCATGTGAAGTTTTCAGTGAGAGGAGCAAAGCGTAACAGTGGACTTGAACGCAGTACTTTGAGACCAGGATTGTGAGGGGCCTCAGGTTCTAGTCCCAGCTCCTGGCCTGCTCTGTGGGACTCTGGGCCATAGGCCTGGGCTCTGATCCTGACTTTATCTCTCGGGGACTGAGGAGCACCTGGAAAGTTGAAAGCATTGTAATAAACTGTCACCATCCTGACCCTGTGGTGTCACCGAGGACTGTCCTCCCTCATCTTGCCTAACTTTTGACCTTTGTGAACTTCCCTGTCATCTTTCTGAGAAGACAGGTCTGGCACTTATTGGTGCTCTTGGTCCCCCAAACCTGGATAGCAGAATGGTGGCTGTAAGGTGGGAGGAGGCTGGGACCAGGAAGGGCAGTCACCCGAGGAGCTGTAGGCGTCCATTCTCCTTGTCAGGGCCAGCAAGCAGCAGCAGGTCTGGCAGCTCCAGGGCTGGACTAGAGGCTGCCACCCCCATGGTGACCTTGTTGGCGACTTCTCCAAACCGGGTCACCTGGGGCCAGAGGTTAGAGGCAGGATGGATAGATGGAGGACAGAACTGAACAGGATCTGGGGGGTGCTGGGAATCTTGACAGGGGGGGAGTTGAAAGCAGGTCAGGGGCTGGGAATGTGGCTCAGTATATAGCACCTGCCTAGAATCCCCTGGTGCCGGGCTGTGGGTGTAGCGAAGTGGTGGAGCTCCTGCCTAACGCGAGCAAGGCCTGGGTACCATCCACAGCACCACAAGAGAAAAACGAAGGGTGTGGGCCAGATACTTTAGGATTAAAGGATAAGAACCACATGTGTGCGCAGTCAATGAAACTGAGACAAAGGCTTGGCGATATGAGAGGGTTCGGGGGTTATGTAGAACACTTGGGAGATCGACAAGGCGAAGGATCATGGGGGGAGGGGCAGCCACAGTTCGCAGAGCAGGGGCTCCGTAAACAAAGGGGCGGAGGTCCGGGGCTCCACACCTGCACGAAGTTGCTCTCAAAGATGGGGAAGTCGCGCAGCTGGTCGAACTCGCCGCTCAGGAGGTGGCGCTGGAGGCGCCCAGGGCGGCACGGGGCGTAAGCTGGAACCAGGGGGCGGTCTGCTGGGGCGAAGGGCTGGCATCCACCCCAGGACAGGTACGAGCCCCCCGGCAGGGGGCGCACGCGAGGCAGCGGCCTCCGCATTGCGGGCCCCATGCTTCCCAGGCTCCCTAACCAGGGACAAACCCTCCGGACCCGGCTCCTCCCCTGCCCTGCCATCCGGCCTCACCAGGTCCGCCCGGGGCCCGCTTAGGCTTGCGCGCGCCCTTCATCGCCACGCCCAGGCCCTGGGTAGGGACGAAGGGTGGAGTCAAGGCCAGAAAGGTAAGGGGCGGGGTCCTAGCGCCTATGCTATCACAATGAGCACCGAGCTTTCGGTGGCGTCAGGAACGTGGCCTCTCCTAGGAAGTGGAGCTGGGAGGGTGGGCCTTAGAGGCCCGGATGAAGAAATGGCCGCTCTAAGGGAGGCAGGCGAACGAGGGCTAGTGCGCAAGGGCGGCACGCGGCGCAGGCGCATGAGCCTCAGGATGCACTTGGGTTCCCAGCGTGCTTTACGGCGCTCGGCTCTTCTCAGATCCTCGTTATGGTGGCCGCGGGTGCTGGGGCTGCCCGGCTGCTCGTGCTCTTGCTGATAGCCGCCGCGGCTCCAAGTAGGGCCCGAGGCAGCGGCTGCCGGGTCGGGTCCGCCGCGCGCGGGGTGAGTGCTGGCGGCCGGGGCGGGGCCGCCTCCTGCAGGCTCTAGATGGATTCGCATCGTGAATATTCATGAGAGGATGCGGTCTGTAACCGAAGCTGACTTGGCTTGACTTGGTTGTGCACACCTTTCATCCCAGTGCTCAGGAGGCTGAGACGGGAGGATTAAGGAAGGAGTTTGAGGCCAGCTTGGGCTGCATGACATTGTCTCAAAAATACACAAAAGTGGGTGTGATGGTGCACGCTTTCAATTGCAGTATTCGGGAGGCAGAGGCAGGTGAGTTCGAGGTCAGACAGGGCTACACAGTGAGACCCTGACTCAGTAAACAATACAGATATAGCGCTAGCGCCTGAGCGCTAGGGATGGAGTCGTATTTCTGAGTATGCACGAGGAAGCCAGGTTCTGCAGGAGCCATTGAGTGTTGTAGATACTGAGTAGGAAAAAAGCTTGAAGTTAAGACATAAAAGGCTTTGGTTGGCGTGAGGGTGCAGTCCTGACATCCTAGGAGTTCAAGGTTAGCCTGGGCTTCCTAAGACCTGTTTCAAAAAAACAAAAAACAAGACCCCCCCTCCCCAAACAAAAACGGTGCTGGCCGCTCTTCCAGAGTACCCGGGTTCGATTCCTAGCACCCACCTGGCTGCTCACAACTGTCTATAACTCCAGTTCCCGAGGATCAAACACCCTCTTCTGGCCTGCCAGGCATGTACATGAGCACAGATGTACATGTAGCAAACACCCATACACAAAATTCAAAACCAAACCAAAAAAATGAAGCCGCTGGCGGTGACAATTTATCTGTACCTCCAGCACTCAGCAGACTGAGGCAGGAGGATTGTCTTGCGTCGAGTAGCCTGGGAGTGGTTTAGTGAGACTGTTACAGAAGATGGGAAAAAAAAGTGTAGGATCAAGGATGTACTGAAGAGGGGGTGGAATTCTTGACAGTGAATGGCCAGGGTATTAACATTTATGCAAAGGAAGCCAGTGCCAGTGAGCTCAGGAAGGAAAAGCTCCACAGTGAGTTGGAGTGTAATACCAGCACCAGGCCCTGGAGGCAGAATGAATGAGTTAGTGATTAGCTTGGGCGATACAGTGAGCCTGTCTCAAAATAAAACAAACACAAAAACCAAAAAAGAAGTATAAAACCCCTAGCTAACCAACCAGCCAAACAAAAGATAATGGCCTGGGTCTTGGACACGAGTAACATTTAAACATGTTTATAGGGTTTTCTTTTGAGCTGTGAAAATCTCAGAATATTCATGAGCAGGACAGTTCTGGGGAACATACCTGTAATTGGATGTGAACATGGCCTTCAATCTGCCATTCTGTCCTGGGGCCAGTTGGTTCTGCCCTGCCCAGAATTTGAGTGGTCTTTACCTGGGGCTCCTGTCTCTCCTCCAGGCTGGGGCTGATGGTCGTGAAGGTGAGGGCTGTGGTACTGTGGGATTGCTGCTGGAGCATTCATTTGAGATTGGTGAGTTCAGTGTGTTTGAGCCTTGTACGTATCCAGTGGGACTAACAGCCTGTCTGTTGGAGAGGGTGGAGAGAAGCTACTTTTAGATGGCTATACCTGGCTTCAAGGGATTGAGTGCTTGTCCGGCATGTCTAAGGGTCTGGGTTAAATTTCTATTAATAGAAATTACACACACATATATAGCACACACATGCATAGATGCATATTCATGCACATGTGTACACATGGGTGTAGGTACATGTGCATACATGTACGTGTGATGGCTAAAGAAGCTGCGTTCTAAGCCAGGCATCTACCTGATACCCACTAACTGTCCCCGCCTACAGCACCTGGAAGGTAAGGTCTCGGCCTGACTCAGTGACCCCCCACCCAAAAATGTATAGCTGTGACCATCTTGGTTTTTTTTTTTTTTTTTTTTTTTTTTTTTTTTTTTTTTTTTTTGGTTTTTCGAGACAGGGTTTCTCTGTGGCTTTGGAGCCTGTCCTGGCACTAGCTCTGTAGACCAGGCTGGTCTTGAACTCACAGAGATCCGCCTGCCTCTGCCTCCCGAGTGCTGGGATTAAAGGCGTGCGCCACCATCGCCCGGCATTGACCATCTTGTTATATGGCTAATTGGTTTTGGCTTCTGTAACTTGCTTCCACAGAGACTCAGAGGTTGTTTTGGGTTGCCTTTCCCATGTGGCAGAACAGGCCCGTATTGACTTGTTTGCATAGATATTGAAGGTCTTCTTGTGGTTTTTGCTGTTAACCGTTCCCCATACCCCTCCTCCATGACACGCCTGAGATTCAGCTTTAAGGCTATCGTCCTCCTAGCCGCTAATCAATAACCCTTTTAATTATAATTGGATTGAGTCTCTGGTCTCTCCCAGGGCCACAAAGTCCATAGCACATAGCTTCTCTTTTCTGCCTTCCACTGTTCCAGTTCCAGCCCTTCCTAGGAGGGAAGTCAAACCGGGGACCTTAGACAGCTGGTCACTTCACCCACAGTCCAGAGCAGAGAGAATGAGTGCACACTTGCTCACTGTGCTCAGCTTCCTCTCTACACTCAACCACAACTCACGATAAAAACCTAGGGACCGGTCTTGCCTGCAGTGGGTGGGCCTTCCTGCTTCAATGAATGCAGTCAAGACATTCGCCCACAGATGACACCCACGACCCAGCCTGACCTAGACAGTCCCTCACTGAGACTCTTCCCCTGTGGTTCTAGATTGTGTCAGGTTACAATTGAAACTAGCCGTCAGGGCCTCTGCTTGTGTGTCCAGATGTCAGCATCACCCTCTTAAAATGTCCTGTTGCTTTGTGCTAATAAAATTGTCGTTTGCAGAAATTAAATACAACAAGTTAACATCACATGTACACATCTGGGTGTACACATGCATGCATACATACATAGGCACACACAGTATATGTATGAGTTTGTGTGTATATATGTGACATGTATAAAATAAATATATAATTTCTTTCTTGCCCCCGACCTGTAGGAGCAACCTCAGACCTAGTCAACTGAAGGAGGAATGTCAGAGCAGACTTCTCTAACCTTGACTTGTGTCTTGCCTTTGCTCCTAGTCTTGTGAGGCAGAGGGTCTGAGCATTGGCCCATTTTACAGCAAAGGAAACAAGTCTGGGGCAGCACCACAGGGTCCCCTTTTTCAGGGAAGGCAGAACTGGGCCAGCCTCAATATCTGCCTGACTAAAGGGTCTGACCAGTCGGCTCAGAGCGTGCTCTTTGCTGTGGTTGTCCCATAGAGTTGTAACCACCCCAGAGTCACTAGAAGGCAGTGCAGTACCTGACAGCAGACAAGTGGGGGAGGAAGCAACTGTCACTGAGGTGGGGCAGGTCACACTTGAGGGGATTGGTACTGAGCCCAGTTCCCCACAGGTGATGGAGCCAACTTCCAGAAGCGTGGCTCGTTGCTCTGGAACCAGCAGGACGGTACCTTGTCGGCAACACAACGACAACTCAGTGAAGAGGAGCGGGGCCGGCTCCGGGTGAGGTTGGGGCCCTGATGCCTAACTCAGCCGCCTCTCCCTATGGGGTACCTTCTTACTGTCCTGAGAAAGAGCCCAGAACAAGAGGCTCCTTTCAAGCTTCAGCCTTGTCTGGGCTGGGCTCTGTCCTTGCTCCCCATGTGAGGGAGGCAGGGGAACTTGCTTTGTTGCAGTGGCTGTGTGCCTCGGTGCCTTCTGTGCAGGAAGGCAGCGAGAGGCCTGCTGTTGTCTCCCTGCCTGGTCTCCATGGGATTCTCTGTCCTAGCCACTCCTACAGGCCATCATTTGTGGTACCTGAGTTTAGGTGTGTACGGGTGGAGGATCATGTGTGTCTGGATCCAGTCTTAACAATGCTGGGATGCTCACTTGAGCTGATGTGACTTCTCCACCGGGGAGTATGGGTGTATGGGAAGCCCCAGCTGTTTGAGCCTCTTGGTAGCCAGGAGGAAGATTCTGAGCAGACTGCTATGAGAGCAAGGCTGGGGAAGCCTCCTCTTGACCAGCCTGCTGGGCTGACACTGTCCCCTCATGGATGTCTGCGTACCCTGCAGGATGTGGCTGCCGTCAATGGCCTCTACAGGGTCCGGGTCCCCAGGCGGCCTGGGGTACTTGATGGTTCAGAAGCTGGCGGCTATGTGTCTTCCTTTGTCCCAGCGGTAAGTCACTGATGAGGAACTGTTCAGCTTGAACTCTTGCAGTCGGTGTTGGTCCGAAGGACCTGGGCATGGGGGTAGGGGCTCTGGAGGATGCCTGTGCATCTGTGGGGGCAGTGCAGCAGAGCTGGGCAGCTCTCCCTGACTGTTCCCACCCTCTCCATCTTCCGCAGTGCTCCCTGGTGGAGTCTCACCTCTCAGACCAGCTGACCTTGCACGTGGATGTGGCTGGCAACGTGGTGGGACTGTCAGTGGTTGCTTACCCTGGGGGCTGCCGGGGCTCTGAGGTGGAAGATGAGGACCTGGAGCTGTTCAATACAACTGTGCAGTTGCGGCCTCCAGGCACCGCACCAGGGTGAGTGCTGGAGCGAGGCCAGGGCCACTGGCTGCCCCAGGCACCCTAGTACTGGGGCTCTAGCCCTTACCTTGCCCCTTCCCTCCCATGTTTAGCCCTGAGACTGCGGCCTTCATTGAGCGCCTGGAGATGGAGCAGGCCCAGAAGGCCAAAAACCCTCAGGAGCAGAAGTCCTTCTTTGCCAAATACGTGAGTGCGGCTCCTTCCACACCCCCTGCTCCCAGCAGATGATGTGTGTGTTCTCTGAGTGCAGCTCCTTGCACACCCCCTGCTCCCAGCAGATGATGTGTGTGTTCCTCTGGTGGGAGGCTGAGGACTGTAGACCCCATCTGAGTTGTTAAGGACTGAGTGGCTCTCGAAGCCTTATAGCCTGGGCTGGGCTGGGGATTTGCAGGCACAGGTACCCCAAGCCTGTTGGGAGCAGAGCGGAGTGGAAGGTAGCTGGGTGTGGACAGACAAGCTGTGGGCATGCGTGGAGGGCCAGGAGGGAAGGGGCAACCCAGTGGGCAGTGAGGGAGCTTGAATAGGTAGGACCTGTGTGAGGCAGGGCCAGAAGGCAGGTGGCCCTGGAGTAGGTGTAAGAGGCACAGGAGGGGCTGCAGAGGAGCATGGGAGGGCACCTGCTGGCCTGAGTCTGTAATACCCAGGCCCTGGAGTGGGAGGGAGTGTGAAGGGCCAACCCTCCTGAGGAGGCCAACTGTACCAAGTCTTCCATCCCTTGAGGTTGGAGACTTGTGCCAGGCTCAACAAGGTAAGGAGCCAGCAAGGCCAGCATGGATCAAAGGAGAGGTGGGAGGGCGCTGAGGCCAGCGACACGAGCTAAGCCCCTTTCCCGTAGGGGCCTCAGAAGCTCCCATGTCAGGAACCAAGTCCTGGCAAACCTCAGCCCTGTGTCTCTGCACTTACTTCAGGGCTGGCCCTTCTCACAGCCAGTCCGCTGACCTGCCTCCCTGCCTCCCTCCCTCCCTCAGTGGCACCTCATCCTGGGGGGGGCCGTGTTGCTCACAGCCCTGCGTCCTGCTGCCCCAGGGCCTGCGCCAGCGCCAACGGAGGCCTAAGTGAGGACCCAGACCCCTGCCCGCCTTGCCCTCTGCCCACACCCTCCTGCTCCTACCCCTGCCCTGGCCCTGCCTGTAGTGACTAGGGGAACCCAGCCCCTCCCTTCCATGGCCCCTATCTTAGACCAGCCTCACCACTTACATCCCTTCTCTGTCTCTTTGTCCACCTGTCCCACCTGCAGTGGATGTACATCATTCCAGTTGTGCTGTTCCTCATGATGTCTGGAGCACCGGACGCCGGGGGCCAGGGTGGCGGTGGGGGTGGGGGCAGCGGCCGGTGAGAAGCTGTACCACCTGGAGTCCTCCAGAGTTTCCTGTCCTTGGCCAGTCCAAGAAGGAGTTCCTGTCCCTCTGTCTCCCTATTGCATGAACGTGAAAGGCTCTCCCTTCTCAGGAGCCCGCAGCCTTCTTGCAGGTCCTTCATTCTCTCTCTGAACCTCTCTTTTGAGAGCCAGGGTGCACCTCCCTGTAGCCACCTCAGGCCCACCGGCTTTCCTGGGTGCTGTGCTACTATGTCCTGCCATGTGGCACTGTTCCCTTGCTAAACATGCACAAGCCCCGCCCAACCCCACTCCACCATGCAGTTTGGGAACATGCCGGATTCTCTCCAGCCTCTGAGCCTTTGTCCCCATCCCCATGCACTCCTCACTGTCACACTTAGGCTCCTGCTGCTGGTGGCCGGGTCTACCTGCCAGCATGTTGAAGCCTCCAGCCACTTTCCATGTGGCATGCTTTGCTCTCTGCCCCAGAACACCATGGTGACTTCTAGCACCGTCCTTCCTGTCTGAGGACAGCAGCAGGAGAGGATTTGGGGTCTCCCCGTTAGTCTGTTATTTTTGCCATTTGTGTGCGTGTTCGGAGAGCCAGGCTTGAGCGTGGCTGCTGCTGACCTCAGCTGTGTTGTATGGCTGTTGATTAAACTGTCCCCTGAACGGCTACCATTCAGCTCGCTTCCTGCCTTTGCCTGATTTATGTTTGAATGGCTTCCTTAGGACGCACAGAGTGAGTTCCTGTGAGCAGAGACACCTTCCGAACTGCAGGAGGAGGCTGGTTCCTGACCCCCTGGTGCATTTGTTCCTTCCCTTCCCAGCATATGCACACTTGTTGGCCCAGCAGCTGCACGTGTTCATATTGTCTCCCTCATCCTCATATAAGGCTTGCACCGGGACCTGGCCCTCACTGGATGAGTTTGTGTGTTGGTACATGGGAATCAGTTAGAATCCCAGCATTCAGTAGGCTAAGGCTGCCTTAGCTACATAGTGACTTTAAGGCTAGCCTGGGCTACACAGCAAGCCCCTGCATGAAGAAGCTGTGGGTTCAATCCCAGCAGTGCAAACACCAGCTGTGCATGGTGGCACATACTCAGGAGCAGCGCTCAGACTGAGCCAGGAGGATCAGAAGTTCAAGGTGTTGCTTGACTATTTAGCAGGTTTGAGACCAGCGTGGGCTACTAGACACTCTTCCCTCACAATACAAATCACAAAACCAAGGCCATTGTCTGCACTTTGAACCTGCCCTGTGAGGGCAGTTCTCTGTGTCCAGTGACTGCAGGTCTGACCTGGAGTTGGAGTTGCATTTGTGCTGTGGCAGTACGCCACCTGACGGGAGCAGCCGACGGCAGGAAAGGCTGATTGGGCTTGGGGGTGCAGAGGGTTTGGCTCATCCTCGTGGGGTTGGCCTGCAGGGCTGCTGCTCAGTTCATGCAGGCCAGGTTGTGATACTGCTGATACCAGGGTAGACAGGAAGCAGCGGTCTGGGTCAGGCAGCACCTTTGCAGGCCCAGCCCTCAAGGGCTACCCCCTCCAGCTGGGTCCCCGCCTGGGAAGGTTCGGTAGCCTCTGGGAACAGTGCTAGCTGGGACATCATACCATGACACAGTGCTCCTCCCCAACAGGCCATCCTCAGGGGTGGCTTGGGAAAGGCTGCAGTGCCACCTGTCACGCCTGCCATCTCAAGATCAGCTCGCGGTGGTGTGTTTCCTTCCTGGGCCTCCGTGCCCGCAGCCTCTTCTCTCTGGCCAGTGTGACTACTCAGACCCCTGCACACCGTGGTGTGACGGATGGCCTTGGTCCCAGGGCTTTGTCCAGTTCACATCCCCTTGCTGCTGTGCATGGAATGGTGGCCTCACATCTTGTCACCAACATGGTGACCAGGAGGATGGCCGCAGCAGAGGCTGTGCTCCCTGCTCCTTCTGTGCTGACCTCTTTCCTGATTACTTAAGAGTGCAGACTGATTTTTTTTTTCTGGAATGTTTGCTATGCAAATCTCAATCCTTTGTCTAAATTCAGGTGCTGCTTTCTGGGCTGTGGTGTAGCTTGGTGGTTAGATGCTTGCCCAGCATGTCTAAGGAAGACTCTGCGTTCCATTTCCATTACTGCCAAACGATCCAGACTATATAAAGAACTAAAAAAAATAAAAAATAAAAAAAAGAAAAACAGCTTAAGGGGTAAAGGAGCTACTGGGATGCACAGCCTGCCCTCAGGGTGAGGACAGTAAGGATGGAGACTATTCACAGGTCAGGGAAGTGAAGGCTGGGGTGTGGCTCAGAGTGCTTGCCCATTACCCACGAGGCCCTGGGTTCAAACAGCAAAAGCTTCTGTTCAGATTCTGGCTCACCCCAGCCAGTTAAAACAAGTACTGGTAAGGGTATGTATGATGCTGAACACTCATGGCTTGTGGGGATGCAAACCATCTCAGCCACAGTGGATGTGGGCACAGAAGGTTCTTGAGAAACCGGTGTTCTGTCAGGGTGTGGTGTGCGCTGACCTCCACAGCAAGGTCTGTGTGTGTGAATAATGAATTTTAAAATGTGTGCGTGTACCGGCTGACTGTGTGAGGAGCACCTGTGTGTACCAAATGACTGAGGAGCGCCTGCATGTACCAGATGGCTGAGGAGCGCCTGCGTGTACCAGATGACTGTCTGAGGAGCACCTGCGTGTACCAGATGACTGTCTGAGGAGCGCCTGCGTGTACCGGGTGACTGAGGAGCACCTGTGTGTACCAGATGACTGTCTGAGGAGCACCTGCGTGTACCAGATGGCTGTCTGAGGAGCACCTGCGTTTACCAGATGGCTGAGGAGCGCCTGGTGTACCAGATGGCTGTCTGAGGAGCACCTGTGTGTACCAGATGGCTGAGGAGCGCCTGGTGTACCAGATGACTGAGGAGCACCTGTGTGTACCAGATGACTGAGGAGCATCTGCGTGTACCAGATGACTGAGGAGCGCCTGGTGTACCAGATGGCTGTCTGAGGAGCACCTGCAGAGCCATCTTTATACTTTAGAGGATGGAGCTGTGTCTGTAGCTGGTGGTTTTCCCTTCACTGCAGGTTGTTTTCAACCATTGGCTCCTGTGTTCTCACTGCTGAGTCCATTAGGCTCCCTGGGCTCCATCCTGGTAAACTCTCAGTTCTTATGGGTCCTCAGAGAGCTCACTGTCCAGGGATTTGGGTGTGGTAGCTCCACACAAAGCTTTCTGATCCCCCATCCCTGCTCCCCCGTGCTTACATATGCTCATACGCATTTTCTCTTGTGCTTTGAGCCCATTGCTACTCTGCCTCAGCTACATTCCCACCAGTGGCGCCAACAGTTTTGCTTCCTTGACAGCCCCTAGACCCTCCAGACTGCAGCCTCATCCGCCACCCAGCTCCCTGTGCCTCTGTCTCAGCACAGCGACTTCTGGATTGTTCTAGAAATGCTATCACTGGTCCAGCCTCAGGATGGCCCTGCTCTGCATCAGCTCCCACCCCACTATTCCTGCCCCTCTAGGCTGCTCTAGAGGTAGCCCTGTGGCAGGACACCCATCTGGAGCTTCAGTTTAGCCTTCACCCTGGCCTTTCCACGCACTGTCCGTCCCATCTTGGGCTTCTAACACCAGAGCCGGCCCCATTGCTGCCCTCTCATGGCTTCCAGCATCCACAGGACAAACAGCCCGCTCCTGGCCTGGCATCTGATGCCTGTAATTAGTGCATCTGGCCATGCTTCTTAAACTGCAGCTTCATCCCTCTGCTACCTCCTGCCACAGTCCCTGTGTCCGCTTATGCTCCCATCTCAGCCCTTGATCCTCTCCTAGACCCTCTCCAACTTGTTGGCTCAGGCATAAGATGAAGGTAGCTTGGGGGAACTCTCCTTTCTTTGCCCCATCCTGGGATACCCTTCTCTGTTTCCTAGAAAGCTCCCCCTTTCTGGCTTCTAGTCTCAGGCTGGCTCTTAACCTGTCCTTGGCTTCTTTAATGTCGTGTGTGATTCTGCTTCTCCATTGTAGCACCTGGAATTTTGGAGGCTTCTTATCCTCCAGGGAAATACTCTGACCAAAGCAGGGGCCATTCTTGGGCTTCTAGCTGTTCCTCACGATCCTGGCCAGTTTTTATGTCAACTTGACACAAGCTAGAGTCATCTGGAAGGAAGAAACCTCGACTGAGAAAATGCTCCAGCTGTAGGCTTTTTATTTTTATTTACTGTTTTTGAGACAGGGTTTCTGTGTGTATTCCTGGTTGTCCTGGAACTCACTCTGTAGAACAGTCTGGCCTTGAGCTCAGATCTGCCTGCCTCTGTTAAATATGTACGCCACCACCAGCTGGCTGCATTTTCTTAGTTATTGATGGGGAAGGTCCAGCTCGTCGTGGGCTGGTGGTACTAGGTTCTGTCAGAAAGCAGGCTGAGCAAGCCATGATGTGCACACCAGTAAGCAGCCCCCTCCATGGCCTCTGCATCAGCTCCTGCCTCCAGGTTCCCGCCCTTTCCTGAGTTCCTCCAATGAGGGACTACAATGTGGAAGTGTAAACCAAATAAACCCTTTCCTCCCCAACTTCCTTTTGGCCGTGGTGATTCCTCACAGCAACGGGAACCCTAGAGGTCACCCATCCTGCTTGTGCCCGCCTTCCATTTAGCAAGGTGATGGGTTGTGCATAGACCAGCAGGTTTGCAATCGCGACCCCCTAGTATGCCTGGGTCCCCCATCCCCCTGGAAAGCAGACAGTCACTCTCAGTGTGAGACTCCATGTCAGGATCTGGTTGAAGCCAGGTGTTGTGGCACAGACTTGTAATTCTAGCACAGAAGCAGGAGAATCAGGTTCAAGGTTACCCTTGACTACACAGGGAATTAAAGGCCTACTGGAGCAGCATGATGTCTCAGATAGGCAAACAAACACTTGCTGTGGATGTTTCTGTATTAGGAGTAAAAATGTTCATTTTAACAGAATTTTCCATATCCCTCCATCCACAGCTTCCCTCACCCCAATTGTCCTTTATTGGGGACAAATTTCAGTGCTTGATACAGCTGGGTTGCAGTTCCACTATGTGCCAGCAGATGGTGACAGTCCTTTTACACGCGCGATCTGAGCTGGGAAGTGTTGGTCCTTTGGGTAGGTGAGTCTAAGAAGCCTCTGTCCTCGCAACTGCTGGTCTTCAGTGTCCTGCAGGTGTTAGACCGATGTTTTCACCAGGAAAACTGAAGTCAGCTGAGGCCTTCATTGCTGATACCTGAAGAGGGCGGATGGCCTGGCAGGGGACAGAGAAGTCTCATCAGCCTTCACCAACCTCAGTGCCCATCCCTGGCCAACCCCGGATCCCAAGTTCTTGCCCTGCCACTTACATGCCGTCTCTGAGGGCAGCTCTCTCTGCTCTCTCAGCGGATTCTTTGCTGCCTGCCTTCAGGGTCTGATTCCTCCAGGAAGTGTCCGGCATCCAGGACAAATAGAAAAAGAAACAAGTGTCACAAAGACCCTGCCCCACACCTGGACTCTGGCTTGGTAGCCATTCTCCAGGTAATCAGCCTCCTGCCATGGCCTTTTGTGGCCACTGGTGGCCCACTTCCCTCCCAGGACCTGGGGACCCTCACAGCACCAGGGTAGGGGCTGGGAACAGCTTACCTAGAGGCCCTTGGGGTTGAGAGCAAGGGAAAAAAGTGGGGGGGGGGGGAGTGAGCGCAGAGGAGTAAAGAATGAAAGGAAAG